AAAACTCACTAGAAAAAGGAACGGAGTACTGACACCTGCTGCAACATGGATGTGACCCAAAAAGCCACACACTGTATGATTCCACTTATATGAATTGTCCAGAACAGGCAAATCCATAGAGACAGGAAGACTGGGGCTGCGGGGAGGGAGGCATAGGAATGCGTAACGGGTGAGGCAATCTCACCCTCTTCCGAATTGTGCACGAACCCTGACTGCTCTTCTGAGCCTCAGATGTCACTCATCCATTCGTTTGTTCACTAAATGTTTTCAGCATCCCTGCTAAGTGCTAAGTACTCATTAGTCACTGGGGTTACAGTAGAAAAAAACCACAGGCCTGGCTTCATAAAGCATATAGACTAGTAGCTGATAAAGAATGGCAAAGAAAGGCTCTTCCACTGGGAGAACCAGGTCGAATGTCTAGCAGTGGTTTGGCCACACAGCTCATGGGATCTTAGTTCCCCGACCAAGGATTCACATTGGGCCCTCAGCAGTGAGAGTGCAGGGTCCTAACCACTGGACTGTCAGGGAATTCCCTTGCAGTGGTTCCTAATATAAGCCCTGTGAATCATAAGCAGGTTGGCTTCCAGGCATCTATAAAATTCATGAAATTATATGTGAAGTTCTGTTCACTCATACATGCTCAGGAGTGAGGTGATCTATGGCTTTCATTAGATTATCGAAGAGGTCCTTGACTCAAAAAAGTTTAAACTCCACCGGTCTAATGATAGGTTGTTGACGTGACATTAGAGATGATGTCACTTTGGAGAAAAATCGGGGCTTAAGACATAGATTTGAGAGCCTTCTCTGCACAGAGGTGAGAGCAGGGTCAGTGCTTTGACTTAAGAGTCTCGGCAGCAGAGGACTGTGACACACAACAGAGACGGCAGGGGATCTCTGATGGCTTAACTCAAGCTCCAGGAAGTCCAGCCATGTTTCTTCCACGGCTTTGAGTGACACTTTCCCCCAACCCCTCAGCCCCACCATATAATGCCACAGACCGCAGGTGCCACAGCTCCCAGCACGAGAACCACAGATTAAGGCTGTCCTTGGGAGTGACCGAGGTCTTCATGGAACAAGTGCAGAGCACAGACCAAATTCTGGGGGTCCGGCTGGTCAAATCCACTCTAGAAATATGTTTGGCCCTCACAGTTTTGAAAAAGAGGGATTTACTGCCATTATTTACAAGTCAGGAGATTTCACAAAATGATCTGAATTTGTGTCTTTTCTTAAAAGTCTGAGGACTTGACAACACCGGCCCTCTGTGCCCTCGTCACCATCACAGGGGGCTGGCAGCAGCTGGCTCCTTGGGTGGGGCATGTGTTCTTCAGTCCCCACTGCCACCCCTCACACTTGGCTCTCCCCTCTTTAACGGCACCTGTCTACCCTCAATGCCTGCACCTCTGGTGTAGACAAAGAACAGCAGAGGAAAAACCTTGGGAAATAGCTGCTTACCAAACAGGAAGAAAAAAACGTTACAAAGGAAGAAAGAGAAAAAGAAGTAAAACAGAAAGGATATACATTCCCTTAATGCAACATCTCCTATATTGTACGGCCTACTGGGAAGACTCAGCATCTGAAGATGCATCCAGTCTAATGTCATTTGGACGGTGAAAGAGTTCTCTTCATCCTACCCTTTACCAGAATAATCATTACTTTTAAAATACTGAGATCACAAGGAGGAGGGGGAACCATCACATCCTGACATTTAAGAAAGAGTATTGTTGGGACTTCCCTGGTGGCAGAGAGGTTAAGAATCCGCCTGCCAATGCAGGGGACACGGGTTCAAGCCCTGGTCCGGGAAGATCCCACGTGCCACGGAGCAACTAAGCCTGTGTGCCACAACTACTGAGCCTGTGCTCTAGAGCCCATGAGCCACAACTACTGAGCCCACGTGCCACAACTACTGAAGCCCGCGCGCCTAGAGCCCGTGCTCCGCAACAAGAGAAGCCACCGCAATGAGAAGCCCGCGCACCGCAACGAAGAGTGGCCCCTGCTCACCGCAACTAGAGAAAGCCCACGCGCAGCAGCAAAGACCCAACGCAGCCAAAAATAAATAAATAAATTTATAAAAAATAAACAAAATAAAATGGTTGATTTTTTAAAAAAAGAAGAGTATTGCATCTGCTTAATAACATCAGAAGGGCCATAAAAAGTCCTTCCTACATTTAAATATCTCCAACAACTATTAACAAATTAAGCGTTGCATAAGTTATGTTACATTAAAAAGAGATCATCTGATTCTGTTGTGTACATCAGAGATATTAATGACTCATGGTCATGACTCCATTTTCTTCAGTCTTTTCAAAACGCGTATTAATCCTCTGTTAACGTTACCTAAAGTACACGCTCAGTTTTCGCCTAGTGCCTCACATACTCGGGGATAGCTCTGTGTTCTGGGCGTCCCAAAGCACTGCACTGTATCCATTCCTTTTCCTCTGTCACTAACACCACTGTTACACTTTCACTCCCTTACCCGTCACGGCTGGAGGTCAGCCTCCCTGTGTGTCAGGGACGAAACAGTGCTTGGACAAAAATACGAAACTCACTGTCAAGCCATCGCTTCAAGATCTGAAGGCCACGGGGTCCACACCCCATTAATTTTGTGTTAATCGTGGTACAATACACATAACGTAAAATGTACTGTCTTAGCCATTTTTACATGTACACTTCAGTAGCGTTAAGTACATTTGCAGGATTGTGCAACCAAGTTCCAGAACTCTTTTCATCTTGCACAACTGAACCTCTACACCATTAAATAATAATTCCCCATTCCTCCCTTCTCCCCAGCCCCTGGAAACCACCATTCTACTCCCTGTCTCTGTGAATTTGGCTATTCTAGCCACTTCGTATGAGTGGAATCATGTAGTATCTGTCTTTGGTGACTGGCTTATTTCACTTAGTGTAATGTCCCCAAGGCTCATCCATGTTGTAGCATGAGTCAAATTTTCCTTCTTTTTCTTAAGGCTGAATAATATTTCATTGTATGTACATGTCACATTTTGTTTCTCCATTCATCTGTTGATGGACATTTGGGTTACCTCCACCTTTTGGCTATTGTGATTAATGCTGCTATGAATACGGGTGTACAAACATTTCTTTGAGACCCTGCTTTCAACTCTTTGGGGTATATACCCATAGGCAGAATCGCTGGACCATATGGTAATTCTATTTTTAATTTTTTAGGAACTGTCATACTGTTTTCCATAGCAGCTGTACCACTTTATATTCCCACCAGCAATGCTCAAGGATTCCAATTTCTCCACATTCTTGCCAACACCTGTTATTTTGCTTTTTTTTAATACAGTAGCCATCCTCATGGGTGTAATCACAACCATTACATTTTAAATATCTCTGAAGGTTATGCTTTGGTTCTCAGATAACACCTTGGTGATGAGTCTACATTATTATTTGCAGAGATCTGAGAGCACAGCCCTGCAGCAGTACACGAAGATACTGAACATCTAGGCCGGGCTGGGAACTGAGCCACGAGACATCTCCAGCTGAGCAAGTTATTAGCCCAAGATTACCTTCTTTGTTGCATAAATTTGCCCATGAGTGGCTCTACCCTAATGCAATCTGTCAGCTTTCAATCTGGGCCAGACAATAAGAGAATATGCAACGGGGTGGGGGGGGGTCTGTCCATCTCAAAATCCTACTCTGGTTGATTAAAAATTTATAAACTGAGAAAGAACTTTATGGGTACTTGCAAAAAGTCCTCACTCCTGTTCCACAATTGCCCCCTTTATACCAACAAACACTGTCCTAAAACGAGGGCAAAGTAAGACGGCCCCTTCCACCTCTTCTAACGTGGAACCACGAAGATACTAAGCCAGTTTTGATCCTCACGTAGGACTCAGAGAAAGTATTGAACTGTAACTCGGGTATCATCCTAGCTGAAAATCAAAGCATTTGTTGTCGGCTGAACAATATTCCCCATCCACCCCCCGCAAAACCCACATCCTAATCTCTGGAAACGGCAAATGTTACCTTATCTGGAAAAAAGGACTTCACAGATATGATTAAGTAAAGGATCTTGAGAAGAGGGAGACTATTGTGGGTTATTCATGTGGGCCCCAAATGCCATCACAAAGGCCCTTACGTGAGGGGAGGCAGGAACGTCGAGGAAAGAAGGCAGCCACGTGATGAAGGAAGCAGGGGGAGAAAGGGAGGGGATGTAGCCGTGAGCGGAGGAATGAGAACAGCCTCCCGAAGCTGGAACAGGCAAGGAAATGGATTCTCCCCTCCAGCCTCCAGAAGGACCCAGCCCTGTAGACACCCTGCGTTTAGCTCTAAGGCTCACTTCAGATTACTGCAGTACCTTTAGAAAGTGAGAGAGTAAATTTCTGTGCTTTAAGCCCCTGAATTGGTGGTCAATTGTCACAGAGGCCACAGGAAACGGACACGACATCAAAATCCACCTACTTCAGGTCTCCATCCTTTATATTTGAGCTTCCCAACTGGTACAACACGCGGGATCTATCTCCTTGCCTCCAGGGGATGCTGGGTGGGGCCTGGGGCAAAAATCATACAGAGCTGCCCAAAGGCCCTGGGTTACGCCAGGTACCATAGAAATATTGTCCTTTTCTACGTGCTCCTGCGTCACGGCGATCGTGAAGCATCCAAGTATGAAAAAGTCCCCGGAATTCATACCTTTCAAACTTCACACTTAAAAGCTCCTGAACACAGTTCAACAGATATGAGGAAGAATAAAAAAAAGTGTGAGCCGTCCTATCAATTTCCATCCTTCAGGACTGCTGTTTGATAAGCTGCACTGGAGAATTTTTAGCGAAAGAAGCAAAATGCAGCGTCCTCTCTCAGCAAGAAAACTTCAGTGGGAAGACACCCCAAATTCCTAAGGCAGCTATTTCCACACTGCAGCTCCACCCTCAAGTGGGCTCTTCCAGCCTCCCTCCCTCCCCCCTCTCCCCGGGTGGGTGGGGTCCTCTCTCCCCTGGGATCTGGGGACGAAAAGGCCACTGGAGCGCGTGCTTGGCACAGACCTGATGGGAAGGGAAGGGTCTCCGGCGTCCCACCAGTCTTTCGGGGGGCTGATGTACATGCACCACAGCTCCCAGCTGTACCCGTGGGCCGAGTTCTCATACCGCTGCACCTCGAAGGTGTCCTGTTTGATGTTGTCGATGGACGGGAGGATCACCCGCTTCCGGTTCTCCTGTATCCGCGAGAGAACTGGCTCGGCCCTGAAACACAGAGAAGCAGAAATAAAATCTTTCACCTGAGGCTCACCCACACCTCCACCGGCCCAGACCCCAAGACCACAGACAATGAATAGAAGCGTCATAGCTAAAGGCTAGGCAGGCTGGAACTCAGAGGGAAACTGGGCTCCCATGTGGCAGCTCCAGCTGGATCAGGTGGCTTTTTTTTTTTTTTTTTTTTTTGCGGTACGTGGGCCTCTCACTGCTGTGGCCTCTCCCGCTGCGGAGCACAGGCTCCAGACGCGCA